TCTGAAGGCAACTTCTGTTCCATGGGTTGATTGCTCTCACTGTCAGGAACTTTCTCTTTATTTCTAGGTTGCCTCTCCCCTTGATTAGTTTATACCCATTGCTTCTTGTTCTACCCTCAGGTGCTTTGGAGAACAGTTTGACTCCCTCTTCTTTGTGGCAGCCCCTGAGATATTGGAAAACTGCTATCATGTCTCCCCTAGTCCTTCTTTTCATTAAACTAGACATACCCAGATCCTGCAACCGTTCCTCATAGGTTTTAGCCTCCAGTCCCCTAATCAGCTTTGTTGCTCTTCTCTGTAATTTTTCTAGACTAGAGTCTCAACATCTTTTTTTATGAATCTATTTGTACCTAACCTAGTTTATTTCTTCAGGTGACCTGCTGGTGATCGTCTTTGTGAGTTACTTGGGATCAAAACTTCACAGGCCACGCATGATTGGGCTTGGATGTGCAGCCATGGGTTTGGGATGTGTTTTGATAGCATTGCCTCATTTTCTAATGGGGAGGTAAGTTCCTAATCTTATTTAATTCTCACAGGGGTAGGTCCTCGACTTACAGCCACAGTTAGAATCAGAATGCAGATTGCTGACCAAGTTGGTGTTAAGAGACCTGGGACTGATTTTATGAGCTTTTTCTGCCAAGTGAATCCCTGTGGTTGTTAAGCGAATCACATGGTCATTCAGTAAACCCAGCTTGCCCCGTTGACTTGGTTGGGAAGGTCACATGACCCTGGGATGCTGCAAATATGTTGTAAATACAATGTGACAATGACAAAAATGTATGCGGTATTGTCACAACATCAAATGTAGCCTTCCATAATTGCATATTATTATATTGAGTTATTTAGCTATATTTAACAGTAGTTGTCAGCTGTGTGGATTGTGTCATGTCATTGAAATGCATTGTTTCTCGTTTCTTCCTCCTTCTCCCGCATACCCATCTCCATTTGTTCCCCCAAAGGCATCCAGTGCAAGTCATGATGATATAACCAGGAGTGGGATTCAGCCGGTTCGTACCAGTTCAGGTGAACCGGATGTTAATTTTCCATCCAGTTCTCCGAACTGGTTGTTGCAAGGATCGACTGACCCCACCTACCCCTCCCCTCCCCTTCCCTTCCAGGAGTCTCCACGCGGCTCGTTTTGGATGCGAGGTAAGTGCAGGGCCCGTGCGGATGCTCTGGGAGAGCGAAAAACTGGCCGGAAATTCAAAAACAGGCCTGTTTCTGCCTCCGGAGGGTCTCCGGAGCCCATGGAAGGCTGTTTTTGCCCTCCTGGAGGTGCGGGAAAAGCCTTTGGAGCCTGGGGAGGGCGAAAATGCTCTCCGCCATCGTGCAGGAGGCAGAGTAGGCCACGCCCACCATGGCCACACCCACCCAGCAATCGGGCAGAGAACCAGTTGCTAACATTTTTTTATCCCACCCCTGGATATAACTCATCATAATATCACTATGTGCAAAAGATGCAAAATGATATATATATTTTAATAGAATTTATTGTTATTTCCAAAACAAACACAACACATAAAATCTTCCTTCTTTACGTACTGTAGAAAGTGTATCAGTTAGTTACAAAAGGTTTTCGTGCATCTCTTCCGCAGTCATCAAGCATAATTCATATTAACTCAAGTATTTTAACTCAAATATTTATACATGTTAC